TTTTATTTGGTAAGTCGTCATTTTTAATAGTATGGACTTGTATAGTATAACAAATTTGTAAATACTTGTGAATAATATTGACGTATTAATTTTAGATCTGATGAGCGGAGATAATTTTTTTTTTTATATGTGTGTGAACTGTGAATGATAAGTAGTCGAAATAATGATTAAACTTTCAACTAAAGTAACTTTGGTTGGTGGGAAAGTGAATCTGGTTGATGCTTTGAGAGGTCAACATTGACAATTCCGAAAACATGGAGAAAACTATAAAAATTAAGAAAAAACAAGAATTTTCACAAAAATCAGTTTTATACCAAATCTGAAATTTTTTTAATGTGACATTGTGATTCAACAACAAAGTACTGTAGATACTTGAAATGTTCATTGAATGTTCACTGAATATGTATATTAATATTTTCTTTAAGCCTTAAGTCATAACATTTAAATAATATTTTGACTCTTTATGAGGTATTCATAGGCATAATAAATGTTCTAGTTCTTATTTAATTATTGTTAGTAACAATATTATTGATTAGTCAAAATACTTAAATATTTAATACAAGATTCTTCATAAGTTGTTCTTAGTGTAATTTAAAAAAAAGTTGATCCTAAACTTTTTTATGAGCGTCTAAACTCTAAAGTAAGAATTTTAACAAAATTCGTTATAATCATGATATGCATGATAACCTATAATATAATATGCAAATTATTATGAGTTAGAAATGCATACATTTCTTTTTTTATATCTAAGATTTGAATATATTTTAATATAAGATTCCTTATTGTATGTTTTTAACCTATAAAAAAGAGTTTACCGGTAAGTGAAATTAATTTTTATGATCATTTCAAATTCAAATTTTTTCATTCACCATTTTAAATTAACAATTTATCTTTGATTGATTTTCTTATTTTGTTGTAACTTAACGGAGAATAAAAATTTTTAATTTTAATTTAAAAATATTATTTATTAGGCTGACTTTTTTGCTCAGAATCGTTGTTCGTGTAGGTCAGTAGTTCTCAACCTTTTTTGATTCATGTCACCTTTAGCCACTAGAATCAAACACTGCGTCACCCTAACATCAAAAGATTAAATATAAATAATACAAATTATTATAAAGATACGAACTTTGAAGTTTGAGGTATGCTATGTACACGACAGTGGTGGTATAGGTGTATAATACGTATATTTATTATAAGAAATAATATGATTGTTTTCGAAAAAATTAATTTTTTTAATTCTTTTTCTTTTTTGTTAAAATTCTGCGTCACCCCTAAGCTAAGTCCATGTCACCCTAAGGTGACATGTCACCCTGGTTGAGAACTACTGGTGTAGGTCATTGAATTTAAATTTAACATATCCATGATCCATTACAGCGACCCACACGACACTTAATGTACTTACAACAGAACGGTACACACTCTTTTATAAGTACATTGTTCAATATAGGTAGTACCTACCTATCCAATCTAAGGTAATATAGTTATATTTTTTCATTTTTTATTGCATTAGTGATAAGTTGTAGGTAGGTAATATAATATTATAATTATTTAAACTAACAATTTTTGTTTTTACTCAAATATTTTTATAATTTATAATAATATACATGGCATACGTACCTATGTACATTGTACATTATGAACTTTGGATTTCTTTTACAAAAATATGTTTTTTTGTGTCAGTCATTGCCTCTTGGTGTAAAAAATTCCCACTACTTTTCAAACTTATTAGGATAAACTAAAAAGTTGAATAACAATAACATTTTAAAAATATTTATACTAATTTTAATTTATATCACTATCCTATTATCACAGTTATATAAGGTACGACTGTACGAGTTAGTTACTTATAAGTTAATAATAATAATAATAAAATTATATTACAATAATTATAACCTTTATAATAAATTATATATTTCTGGCAAAAATTAGTTCAACTTACCGCATAGTGCAAACGACATAGTTACTCATATCTAGACAAATATATTGCTTATAGTAACATAAATAAATTATAAAATATCCGCATAGAAATAGTCACCCCTTCTTTTCTTGCACTAGTTTACTATTAATTGATTATGTTCAATGGGGTGATTATAAACTCTCCCAGTTTTGTTACACCGCGTTTGATGCACCCGCAATAGATGATTCTACATTTTTCATTTCGCAATAAATTATTTAAAAAACGAACATATTATTGACCGTATGACGAGGTTAGGCAATGATCATCCGTATTTTTTTCTTTAATACCTATTTAAAATTGTATTCATTAATCATATACCTATTATATTGATTGTATTTTATAATAAATAAATAAAAAATGTATAATATTTTAAGGTTTAACCAAGACGTTACCATATTATTATAATCTACGTAACTATGTATAGACGTTTAGTGAATATTATTTTCTATAGAAACGGATCTGTTTCATTTACCCTATGATATTATTATATCTGTTATTACTTATTACTATGGATACAGACGTATATTATCGATTAAAATAGTATGTTCACTCTGGTTTCTAGAAGTTGACTAAACATAAAAAGTACTGTAATAAAAAATATTTGTAAAATAATACATTTTACAAACATCAATCATAAGTAATTATCGGCAAAATGGGAAAAACTGATGAATTGAACGGTTGTTTTCATAAACGTCTCGAGCCTGGGTACGTTAAATTAATATTATATATTACACTGTATTATATTGTATTGCATTATTATTTAATTGTGATTTATTTATCCATAAATATAACTTGCTGTTATATTAGGACGGTCTGTGGCGTCTGTCAGCCTATGATATTATTAAGTATATTTGATGATATTATTGTGAATAAAGTAATTGATATATAACCTATTTACGGCAAACCTCGTTTTACATTTTAAATACTTAGCTATATATAACAGTTGAACATTTTATACATTTTTAACGGAAAAATCGTTTTTAAATTTTAAATTTGATACATTTTGTCAAAATTCGAAATTTAAATGCTTATAAAAAAAATTGTGCCTATGTATTTTTTATATTTTTCAATTGCTATTTTAACAGTATATCAGGAGCTTTGTATACAATTTTCAGGGTTTTTGACCCAACAAATAAATTACTAAAAAAATTAAAAACTGAAAACTTTCGTAAACAGCTCAAATAACAAGTCAAAATATTTCCAAGATTTTATTGTGTATAGAAAATGCGAATATAAACAACTAGTGAAAATGTAATGTATCTACGATTATTTTTTTCAGAGTTACACCAAAAATCAAAATCAATTTAGCGTAAAAATTCCCGTTTTTCCTTAATTTTTTTTTTGTCTTTCACGGTGTTTTTGAAAACTAGTGGAAAAATTTTACTTTTGACCCCCCAAAGTACCAACTAGATTCACTTTCCTATCTGAAAATAAACTGTTGAAGAAAATCTAAGTACTGTCCTAAAAGGTGATGATAAACACAAAAAAAAAAGTTTTGTCGAAAACTACTGTTTTTCCCGTCGCTTTTTAAAACTATTAATAATTTTAAACTTTGACCTTCCGAATACACCAACTAGATTCCCTTTCCTATTGAACAAGATATTTTTGGAGAAAATCGAAGCAGTTTCACTGCCCCAAATGGTGATGACAGACACAAAAATATAAATAATAAAAAAATATAACACATATTATCGTAAAATCAATACATTCATCGCTCCACTCAGAATCTAAAATGTATTAAATACATAATATCGATGGCGTAGCGCACAAGTGTGATAAGTGACATTTTCGTAATTGTTCAGGAGAACGATTTTTAAGTTTGAGATGTAATAACAAATTCAAAAATGTAACGAACTGTACGACATCTATCGGAGTAAATAATGAACTATTCACTTACAACGTTTGGGCATAATGTGCAGAATTGTATGATTAAATTGATTATGCACTTAACTCATTTTTCAAAAAAATGTCACTTATCACACTTGTGCGCTACGCCATCGATATATGTTAAATCAAGTGATAGAGCACCATAATTATAGTAAGATTTTTTAAATGTAAATGCTATAGCAATCTAGCATATAATAAAATAATCGCTATGCTATATTATAATATAATATAGTATATAATGTATTTTGCACTAAATGAAACTATGATATTATTTCGTTTTTATTTTAAGTAATAAAAATATGAATAAATAAAATTAGATACAAATATGGTTTTCAGTATGACAAAAGAAACGATCAAGGAAAGTTGCAAACAAAATAAATTGTACTTAATACCTAGTCACAATGATGTACTGTATCTTCATTTTAGAGGTATGTAAAAAATATGCTTATACTGCGTAGATTACGCATAATATACAAATGCACCATGATAATTATTTGGATTAAAGGTTCTGCCCGGCTCTTTAAATAAGTCTACAGATACCTATATATGTGGATATTTGTAATTAATATACCTAATGTCATAATGTTATTTCAAGGATTTTCAAAGATTGAAAACTTGGAAGAATATACTGGGCTAAAATGTCTTTGGTTAGAAAACAATTGCTTAACGAACATTTCTGGACTCGACAATCAAACAAAGCTCGTCGGTTTGTACATGCACAACAACGCAATCTCCAAAATCGAAAATCTTGATTTATTAATCAAACTCAACACGATAAATTTGAGCCATAATTTCGTTAAAATTATTGAAAATTTAGGCAAGTCATGCAAGGGGCGAATTTAATTGAAAAATAATAGTTATATATTTTTTTTTTTTTAATGAATTTTAGATCACTTGCAGGACCTAAATTCGTTGATTATATCTCACAACAAGCTTTCTACAGCGAGTGACATTGCTCATTTGGCCAACTGTAAAACCTTATCTATACTCGATCTTTCATATAACTACTTAGATGATCCAGAAATCATTGATGTAAGTCCCTATTTAGCAAACTACTAAGTACCTATCTACTAACTAGCAACCTATAACTAATAGACAATAGTGCATAAAATATTCAATTTTTTTACGTTTTCTAATTTTATAGGTTTTTACCAACATGGAATCTTTGCGCGTTTTGTCTTTAACTGGAAATAGCGTGATTTCGAAGATAAAAAACTATCGGAAAACATTAACTATAAAATGTGTAAGTTATAAAGCTATGTTAAATACTAAACAGTATATAATATCGTTTTATTTGTTTGTAGTAGTAGATAGCCTCGTTGCTCAACTTATATTATTTATGTTTTTGTCTTTTACAAAATCAAGTGGAGAATATTATACTAAAGTAGAAAAATAATAAACGTTTTCATACTTTATTTTGTTATTTGATAAACATACAATATTTTATATTTTATTTAAGTAAGCCAAATAATGTGTTTATCTTTACAGAAAGAACTTCGTAATCTAGACGAGAGGCCGATATTCAAAAAGGACCGTTTGTGCGCTGAAGCTTGGTGAGAATTAATTATAAATTTCAGTTAAAACAATATACTTATACTGCAGGTACCCACTTAGGTACAATAGTAAAAGACGTTTTTTTATATAACCAGGAGTACAGGAGGTATCGAAGCGGAGCAAGCCATGAGAACCAAATTAAACGAAGACGAACAAAAAACGATTTCGGATTCCGTAAACGCACTAATGAGTTTGCGTCGAAATAGGAATGTACAAATTATTCCGTCAGCCTCCGGGGACAGCGGCCATCGGGAAGGCGGCGACGTGAGAGATTCTACAGACAGTCTGATCGTGTCCAAAGACTATTACGATGAATGCGATTCTTCAGACGACGATTCCACCGACGACGGATCGTCCGTCAAAGACGCAAATCCATTGGTACGTGAAATCGACGATAATAACGATTGCGGAGACGACTCTGCAGCTGCTGACGATTCTGTTGATCGGTCGACACGCGACAACGTTGGCGATAACGGTAAAGGCTTCAGTGACCCCGAGAATGACATCGTAGATTACCCTCGCGATCGAATGTCTGCTGCTGACCGGAGTACCTGCATTACCACGGTGGACTGCAGCAGCGGAAGCCGGGAAGACATCGATGCAGGCCGCCCCCTGATCATCGCTTTCCCAGAAGATGGTGATGAACTTGCAGAACGATTGGATGAAAAATATGAACTCTTCGTCGACAGTAAAACCGACGCGTCTCCGAATAACATCGCGTCGGACAATACTGCAGAACCATCTCTTGAACAGTGTACCGACGACCGTTTATGTTCAAACGACTCGGCCGAGCTGACGATTGAACTTATAGAAAATGAATTAGTTTCTACAGAGATGAATTACGCGAATGACGAATCAAATCCAGATGAAAGTGGAAAACTTGATGACGATAATAGTGATGAAAATCATAACAATAAGAATGTTTTAAATAATCAAAAAAACGTCGTAGATTACCCTCGTGATCGAATGCCTGCTGGTGACCGGAGTACCTGCATTACCACGGTGGACTGCAGCAGCGGAAGCCGAGAAGACATCGATGCAGGCCGCCCCCTGATCATCGCTTTCCCAGAAGATGGTGATGAACTTGCAGAACGATTGGATGAAAAATATGAACTCTTCGTCGACAGTAAAACCGACGCGTCTCCTAATAACGTCCCGACAAACAATACTGCAGAACCATCTCTTGAACAGTGTACCGACGACCGTTTATGTTCAAACGACTCGGCCGAGCTGACGATTGAACTTATCGAAAATGAATTCGTTTCTACAGAGATGAATTACGCGAATGACGAATCAAATCCAGATGAAAGTGGAAAACTTGACGACGACAATAGCGATGAAAACTATAACAATAATAATGTGGTAAATAATCATCATCGAAATGTCGGCAGTTCAATCGACATTAACAACACATTAAAGGACAACGATTCTGAAACGTGCAAAAATCCCGATTTAAATGAAAGACAAGGTTTACCTATATTATGTGCAGAGCAAATTATTAACACTTCACAAATATTATGCACAGAAAGGTTATATACTCTTGACATAATTGATCATGATAATGCTGAAGAAGAATCAAGTTTAATTTCAACCTGCAAACCTGATCGAAATGAAATTAAAGAAATTCCTATTCAACTTCCATGGCTGTTGCCACCTCAAACAAAAGAGGAGTTTTATATCAAAAAAAGTTCTGAATAAAATCATCATAAACTGATTAAAAGATTTACATTTATTTAATTTACACATTTTTGTAAAGTATATTAAAATAAATTATATTTCATTAAGAGCTTTGATTAATTCTATAGTTATTAAATGTAATGTTATAAAATTAATCTTTGTTTTTTGAAAAATTGTAAACCGCTATTGAACATAACGCATATAAAATAGTATACATTTGTTTATTTTCATTCTATATTTATTGATATTTAAATAAATACTCATGTTTTTACAAATCAAAATTATTTCATTACCAATTAGATGAGTTTGAATTAAATATTATTATATTACACTAGCTGCATTACCCGGCGTTGCCCGGAAAAAAAATTGTGATCGTTCAACTCATTTGGGTGTAACACGCTTTGGAATCAATGTCTTTTTAAATGTAAATGATATTATATTTTAATGTATAGCCAACCCGACCGGGCGTTGTCCGTGAGATTCGCTTGTGATTATAGTACTTATTTGAGTATATTATCAGGTTGGCAATCTAACTGCGGTAGATATCGGACCCCGTGTGATTTGTACATAAGTGTATAATTTAACTCTAAAGTATCAAAGTTATACCAAGTTTGTTTTTACTTAATTCAACCTACAGTGTATTAAATACAATCAATTAATACAAAATCTTAACCTAACCTAACCGTACTAAAATCCGACGAATAAAAAAAACAAACATTGATATGTTTAGATAAATAATATAAGTAAATAAGTAAAAATAAGAAAAAAAATGGTCCACCAAAAACTTTGTTCGATCTTGAGACAATCTGTACTAAAATATATAAGCACATAAGTGCCACTGTGCCAACAGGTATTAACAGTTGTTATTATTATTAATAAAACCAATAGCAACCATTTACAAACCTACATTTCCATCGTAAATCTCAATATCCCTGTTATTTGAGCACATCCCCGGGTTGGACCTCTAATTTACCCTTTTTAAATGAGCCTATCTTCTTCCCAGAGGTCTAATCTATCTCTGTACCAAATTTCATCACAATCGGATGAACGGTTTAGGAATGCATCGAGGACACACAAAAAATATTTTTTTGTATAGATTATTATATATTATATAGATTATTTTTATTTGTATATATTTATGTACAAAATATTTGAAATGAAAAGTTTTTAAATAATTCTTATGTTCTTTATTATTTTATCTACCAGTAGTTTGTATTTATTTATTATATACCTAATTATTAAAGACCGGATTTCGCATAAAATGCATACCGCTATTTTTAACATCATATACATGCATTTAATGAGTGTCCATAAATCATTACTTGATTGATTAAATATTAACATTTTATACTGTATATTTATTATTTTTGCATACTCGGACGGTAGTGCATGGCCTGCATATTTTTGCATATTTTAACAAAAAAGCATACAAATATATTATACCTAACGGTCCAAATAGGTGTTGAGGAAAAAAAAAGATTATATTATGTAAGTACGTTTAGAGATCAAATATTATATTTACTTTCCAAGAATTAAATTTTTCGTATTTACTAAAATGTAATTTGCTTGGTTTACAATCTTTTAACGATTAAATTTAACAAATTGCATTTTTGTACTGCATATCTCAATATCTGTGCCATAATACATATATTATACATTTATTTTTTGTTAATAAAAACTTTAATAAACTTAATAAATAATTAACATTTCAAAATTTAAATAAAATATAAAATTTAATAAAAATTGAAATTTAATCTTGCATGTTTTGTATTTTTTTCTTGTCTATTTTGACTTTTTTTAGTGCATGTGTGCATGCGTATTTTAAATTTAAAATGCATATAAGTCCGGCCTTTACTAATTTATGTAAGCAGGAACCTAGTTCAAACATTAAGCTCAACAATTATTGTCTTTTTATATTGCTGTTGAAGTGTTGAATAGTGCTATATTTTTGATCCATTATTTATAAATTATATACGTAATATGGTCTATAAGAAGTAAGTCTTTAGGGTCTTTCACTGTCCGTTGTGAAACAGTTATACACTCACACGCCTCGTGGCTCATATACTATTATACTGAGTAAAATGAACAGTAATTTATTGTTATAGTGATTAAAGGTGGTATAGCCGGTATAGGTACCTAAGTTAAAAATGTTATAGTTTCGTGATTTCATCATTAAGATTTGCTTTATTAAAACATTCAATTAACAGGAAAATATTTTTCCTTATCGACATTTTCTACGTGTTTGCCCATGATTAGTATATTATGGAGATTATTCGTCACGTCTTGATCTTTTCTCGTTTTCAATGATTTCGTAAATTTCTTCCAATTGTTTCTATAAATTGGATTTGTTAGTTTTATTATTTTACTCTAAGTATCTAACCTAACCTATAATGGTATATGGGTGTCACCGGTTTCCGCCAAAAATTACCTTTCCGTTTTCCGCCAAATCAGATATAAGTATTAAAAAAATGATATTTATATTTGCATTGTCTTGATGACAATATGTCAGCGCTTGATTAATTGGCCGAAACTTGAAATTTTAAAGTTTAGGAACCCTTACGTATCATAATACTCATAACGATAAACCTATGGTTTATTTTGACATATAATAGTCTATATTATGCCTATTATGGTATATAATATCTTATATGGTGGGTTTTAAAATGTTATACCTGTATGCGTCTTTATCTACGCAGAAAATATTATTTCATAGATATAGATAATACTTATATCTATTCAGTGGCGGCTATCCTATAGTTGAGGTGTAGCGGTTGCTACACCTTTAATTAGAGGTGGGTGGGGTGGGTTGTCTACGTAATTTTTCGTATGCGAATAATACAGAATAATTTGGAATATTTTAATAGGATAATAGTAACCATGTTAATATAGAATTCTAGATTGTAGATGACAGATGTTATTAATGTATTATTAATGCGATTAAAAAGTAAAAACAACCGTTGTGTTTATGGTATTTGCATGACTATAGATACCAGCGTTTTTAGCTATCTGCCTATCTAAGTTTATAGTGATAACTGATAAGGTTAATGATTTTTCCATGATTCTAAAAATAGTAACGTATGTGAATATGTGATGCGTATAGCGTATTTAGTTTTGATAAGTCAATAATCTTCAAATGTTTTTTATATAATATAGTATTTTGTCTTAGTAATTTAGTATATACGTAATACGTGATACCTTATAACAGTGAAGTTATTAATTTTTTTGAAATTATTTATGATTTATCTGTGTTCTGTGAAATGTAAATTGTGAATAATTTAAATTCGACAATCATTATTCATTATGTCAACTACCGAATCTAATTGTGTGTGTGGCAAGAAAAGAATAGGATTAAACTTGACAAATTGGAATCGTCATTTGTCTTTTTGTAAAGTGGCTAAATTAAAAAATAATAAAATTTGTTCCGATTTGACAAGTTTTTTTCAGCCAAAACATGGAATTGCGTCACAGGGTTCAAGTACCATAAAAAAATGTATTATTTTATTTTTTGTGTGTGATACATTTTATATATCCTTATTTATTTCCAGTCAAAGCAGATATCATTGGCCAGATGAGTAATTTGCCTGAGGAATCAGATTCTGTTGAAATAGTTGAAGAATGTAAATATTTATAACATAGTGATAGTACTGATAAACAACTTAAACCTACACTAAAATAAAATTGATAGTTATGTATGATTTTTAAAATACAGAATTAATTAATTATATTTCAGCACTTGATACCAATATTATACGTGGCATAAGTAGATCAAGTACATCTCACAAACAAGAACTATCATTATTACTAAAGGGTAGGTACCTACTTGTTTTAATATTTTAATTTTTCAAGTTTTTAATTATGTTATTGGTTATCACATCTTAGTTTTTTATTTTACTATAGAGAATATGGATTCTGGGAGTGAAATCATAAGAAAAAAATATGAAGAAGATCATATCAGCGAAAATATCTTTGAAATAGGTAGGTAACTATTTTACTCAACATATTACTATCTTCATAAATATTTAATTAAAATCATTTCATGGTACTAATATTCCATAATATGGTATTATTGCCTATTGGTATTTGTATTTCTAGTAAATGGAAAAACATAGGTACATATTTATTTAAATCTTATACAAGAAAATTTTAATAATATTAAATAATTTATTAGAAGTACTAGCATAAGATGATAAAACAAAAGTTAATTAATATTATACCACAGAATAGATTAAATTAGATTTAAACTATTCTGTGATTATACATCATTATAATCTTCATAATTATATGAATCAGGAAATTTTAGATATTGATTTTATTAACTGTAGTTTATTACAATTTATTTCCCTGTCCACCACACGAGTTTTTCTCAGTAAGGCCCAGTAATCTTTTGATATTAATTTAAATAAAGAAATAAAATAAAATTTAGTAGGTACTATATCTTATTAATGTTTAATAAATGGCACATACTTCAAATTTTTCAATTTTTTGTGAAGTTTTTTAATTTTTATCAGTGGTATAATCTTAGATGTTTATTTTATTTAAGACAAATTAGATTCTGAAACTGAAATTACTGGTCAAAATGATGAAGATTATGTCTGCAAAAATAGTATGGATATAGGTAACTATTTTACTTTGCATATTGTTCTTCTATCTTTATGTAGGTATTAATATGTTGTGGTAGATGTTGGCTGTTTGCATTTCTAATCAATTAAGAAAAAACACATGTTTAAAAAAATCTTATACAAAAAACTTTAATGACATTAAATAATTTAATAGAAGTACTGACATAAGATATTATAAGAAAAGTTAATTAATATTATACATCATTATAATCTTCATAATTATATGAATCTGGAAATTATAGATACTGATTTTATTAACTGTAATTTATCACAATTTATTTAGTAGATATATTATAATAGGTAATTTTATAACTTACATAAACATAATTGACAATTGTAAAGTTAATTAAGCTTTGTTCTATAATTTATTCAATTGATAAGTTTATATAGATATTATTTATT